GGGGGGGGGGGTTGTCTTTCAGATACACCTGGACCTATACCTGGACCTACCATTCTGTGTTGGTCTGTCTCTCCTTCCTGTCCTCTCAACCAGCCAGTCAAAGCAGATGGCCGCTTGTCCTGAGCCTGGTTCTGCTGGAGGTTTCTTCCTTTTAAAAGGAAGTTTTTCCTTTCCACTGTTACCACTGTGCTTGCTCAGGATGGGAGACTGCAAAGAAGCCAAGATTCAACTTGTCTGCTGGATTCCTTAGATAGAGAACTTTACTAATCGGCTTTTATGTATGAGAATGTTCCTGTAAAGTGCCCTGAGAAAACTTTGTTGTGATTTGGCGCTATATAAATAAACTGAATTGAATTGAATAACTCCCGTCATGAATCAACAATATTATTATTGGAGCTGGGCAGCTATATTCCATCCTGTGAATGTCTGGCACAAAGATTGGCTGAATATGACCTTACCTTGGGTCTGCGTGGTCCCAAGCCTGCCCCACTTTGAAAGTGACTTTGCAGAGGGGCACGCTAGGACACACATGGGCCTTCAAGGACCCTATTTTTCTGATATGTACATGCAGAGGCTACCAAAACCGAACGAGCTCCTCCAAGCACCAAAGAGAGATTTTGCCAAAATAGATAGATGTGTGGCTGAACGTATTTTTAATAGTCTTAACAACTCAGTGTGGGAGAGTAATGGTGTGTCACCTAGATGTGGGAAACAGAAGTAGCAGTCATGTCAACTTGGCGTTATGATTGCACTGAACTATTGGAAGCTGGAACTATCAAAGTTCTACTCCAGGCCTGGCATGAGTATCATAGTAGAGACAAATCACGCACCTGGTGGGGATTTCAGACAGAAGAAATAAGAGAGTGGGTCGCACCTTGTTTACACCACTTGTTTAATTATTGGATTAGATACCAATTTTTAGCAACCATGTACTCCAAAGAACAGGACATTTGGTCCAGTGCCTTGTACCGCCCAGATAGGTACGTTAGTCCAAGACCATGGCACATGAGTTGTAATAACCAAATCACAGAATGTATGATAGACCTAGCCCGAAGACCCTGTAATGAGATTCCTGGATGGGAGAGCTATTGTCAGAGTTACTATGGTACAGAGTACTCCACCCATGCAGCTGAAGTCATGTGGAAAAAGTATGGCAACCTATGGAGATGGTCCATACCAGATGGCACTACTTGCACACAAGTTATTTTAGGACACCAGTTAAAGACCAGGAAAAGTATCCAAGGAGTAATCGTCCCCTTTGTCTCAGACTCCATGATCACCCTAGCTGAAGGACATGCCGTAAGATGCCGCCTGTACCTTGGTGATGAGGTGCAGGGCTACAAATGGGTAGGCCCAAATAAGATTTATTCTAATCTCACTTGTCTATATCCAGAGGAAACCTGGAAAAAACGTGGCAAAGGAGAGAATTAACATAGTTGTGCATGGTATGAAACTGTGAGTTACACGGTGGGCCGCAAGGTGAAAGAGGCAGTCCATGAAGTTGGGGAAGTGAACAAAGAAGGAGGAAAGACAGTTGAAGGGTGGATGGTCGATCTATCCCTTCAGACCTGGCCTTATTTGGTAAGCCAGGCTGGAGTGGTGGTCGTAGTCTTATTAGGACATGTGCTCCTACAAGAGTGTCTTAGAGCTATGTGCCGCCCATGGGGGAGGAACTACAAGCCACTCCCACTTGAACCGGGAGTTGGCCCAGAATAACATGAAAAGGGTAAGGAAGTGGACTCACATCCGCCGCAGAGCAGCAACAAGCAAGACCAAAGACTTGGATAACTTAATGTCTAACTCCAAAAGCCTAACAGCAGGCTCTACTGCCCCGTCCCCACCTAGGACTGTCAGACCACATCTCAATCTTCCTGGCTCCTGCTTACATGCCCCCGCTGAGACGCTCCAGACCGGTACAAAAGAAAGTTAAATGCTGGATCCAGGACAGTGGCCCCATACTGAGAGATTGTTTTGATCGAACAGACTGGCAGGTTTTCAGAGAAGCTGCTGAAAATGGAGGTTCGCTTGATCTTGACCAATACACATCCTCAGTTCTGGGTTACATTAGTACATGTACTGACACCATCTCCACTATCAGAAATGTTAAAAGCTTCTGTTGTGGTCCGATTACCACGTCATGTTCAAGACAGCTGAGACATCACCCTCGGTATAAAAGATTTATTTGACAAACAGGAGTTACAGGTATTCAGAGACAAACAATTACATTTGTAAAATATATGCATATATTTGGAGCATTAAAGACGAACCATCTCGGTCTGGTCTTCCCCGGAAATGCTCGCTGGGCGTGTGTCATTTCCGGCTTTTATCAAAGCTTGAGAAGGCTAGCTCTTCTGATTGGTTTAGCCCTTCGGTTGCCATGGTTACTGATCTAGCCCGCCCCCTGAACGACGTTATACATTCCACAGATAAGAAGTTTATGGCTCACTGAAATCGGTTCTTTGTTTTAGCTCTGTTTCAGTTTAACTTGAATATACCTTAGTGATACCAAATGATCTTGAGTTAAAGTTATTTTCTTTCTAGGAATAATTAATAACTATTAATTATTAACTAACTCATGTTTATGTGTTCTTAATTGATCCCTCTGACTTATAGAGAACCTGAGGGATTTTATTTAGTCAAACTATATTAAGTCTAAATTAAAGAAATATGTTCTAGCTTTATTTATGTTAATCAGTCTGCTATCTGGCATGATTTGATTGCTTGTAATATATCAAATGTGAACTTGTAAAATTATCATTAGCTGATATAAGATTATATGTAAAGGTAAAATAGTTAGAATTAGTAAACATTCAGAACTCCACTCACAACGTTCAGGCGCAGACTTATCCATTCTCAGACAAACTGAGGTCAGAGGAAGCGGCTTTGAGCCAGTGGTTGGTAGGAAACAGCCCAGCAAACGGCAGCCCTCTGATTGGCTACCAATCCAGCACAAACCCTCAGGATTGGCTGCTGAGATGTAAAGAGAGCAAGACTTCCTGTCCTGTTCGGGCCTCTATGGACTTCCTGCAGGCCTGGGGTCAGCTCCAAGACCTGGAGGCTTGGCTTCTGAAGGACCAGAACCAGGTGAGCAGAGAGCGCACTAGTAGCAGCTGCAGCTCCACCTTCTCCATTGAGAAAATCGACGAGTGTGAGTTCCTTACTGAGGATGAGGAAGAGCTGAGCGACTGGCTACTCACCCCGCCCACTGTTGCCATGGACGCTGTGTTGGATGCTGAGCGCTGGCAGCAGGTTCTAAAGCCCTTCGAGGAGACCTGGTCCTCCAATGACTGGCTGTTGGAGAGCGTCCCTGCTGCAGACTGCACCTCCTGCTGTCAGGCCCCCAAGGCCATGGAGATTGAGAACCTGGGCCAGCTGAAGTGCCTAAAGACCCCCTCTGCCCCCGCAGTCACTCTGGAGGCGTGGCTTCAGCAGGTAGCACCAGTGCAGCAGACCTGCAGGGCAAACGAGCCTTGTTCCACCTACGCTGACTGTGTCTGTGACGAGAACTGTGGGAAGGATGCTCTTAACCGCTGGCTGCTGCAGCAGGAGGGGCGGGACAAAAATGGCGTCTCCCTAAACAAGAATGCCCCGCCCACTTCCTCCTACAGAGACCAAGAGCAAAAGGTTCAGGCCATCCTGGAGGCCTGGCTCCACCCCAGCACATGCAGACCCTCCCCTCCCACAACCTGTGAAAGTCCAGAGGAGACCTTAAATGTCCGCCGCTCCCAGTTCTTGTCTCCCTTCACCCGTCCTCTAAATCCAGATCTCTGGGTTCATCCTGACGCAACTCCTGGTTCAGGAGGTTCAGCTAAGGAGGAAGAGGAGGCTGACAAGTGGCTCCTGAAGAAAAAAGTCGTGTCCAGGATTCGGCTGAGGAGGCTGACAAGTGGCTCCTAAAGAAGAGGAGTCAGGTCCAGGAGCATTTGATTCTTCCTGCCGTCTGCGAGCTCTTTTCCTGTATGAAACTGGGTGGAGACAAAGAAAAGTGGCTGCACAGAGCTGCTGTCCAGATGTGAAGACTACAGTGCTTCCTCTCCTGAGTCACTTTATCACTGATCGCACATAATCTCATTGTTATCACTTCTGCCTTCCTGTGAAATCGCAGCCCAGAAGTTCTGCCCATCATGGTCTAGTGGAATGTTCTCTGCAAGAAAAAACTTCAGCCAATGGAGCTTCTGTAAACTAGACCAGGGGGTGGGGCTTTATAATGTGGGTGGAGTTGGTTTAGACAAATCTATTTTAATGGAGCTTTTCTAAATAAAATTTAAAAGTAGTTTAACAATGTAAGTTGTCTGTTACAGCTGACCTCAGTCAGGAACTTCTATCCAGGCTGAAGGCGGTGCAGAGAAGTTTCCCAGACTGCCTGGTCGCATGACTGTGGTCAGCTGTGATTTTTTTAAATGTTTAAAAAATGATGCTTAAAATGTGTTCTGTATTTAAATTCTTTAATAAAATGTATTGAAAAAAAAAAAAAAGAATTAGTAAACATTTTCTATAAATATAGTTCAACCCTGGAAGAAAGACACACACACACACTTTGTATAACATGACATTTGAATGCTTGATGGGAAATATAAAAAGGTGTAAAAATATGAAATCCAACAATCCCTCTTTTGATCTCCCCATATTCATGGGAGATCACACCCTTTTGGATTTGTCCAGATGGAAGTGACCCAAACTTACTGCAACCCTCCAGGGGTCCTGGACCAGACCCCTGGTTCAAACCCTTCAAAACCTGTAAAAAATACCAAATGCATAAACCTTTATAAAAATACAAAAAAAA